TCTTTCGGTTAAATAATAGCATATGCTATTATTTAATTTATTATTTTATCTTTAGACGTGACTTAACCGAAAGAACCAAATAATAATTAAAACCTGGTTTAATGAATACGAAACTCTGATCCAAGGCTTAGGCTGCTTCCTCGTCGATGCTGCTATCGTACTCGGGGTAGTCGTAGAATGCGGCGGGCAGGTTGGTCTTGATGAACACGAGCTTCTCCTCCACAATCGTGGGTGCCAGTGAGTTCCTTAGCTTCCAATGGATGAAGCCCATCGTTGAGAAGTTGGCAAAGTGCGGTTCTGCAATTAGAACCAATTAAACCGGATTTCTCCAAATTTCAGATGATCGGGTTTAATATAAAAAGACAATTAAACCCGATTGTAAATAACCCGACTGTGGCACCCTTGGTTTCAGGTGGAGGAGGGTGCACGACACAACATTTTCCTTACACAATCCGACCCAAAAAAAATCTCGTGTAAATCCTGTTGCTTTGCGTTCCACGCGCATCGTTGTATTTGCTGCAGACCTCTCCTCTACTCAACATCATCAACTACGTTCGGTTTTTTTTCTACAATACAAAAAGAAAAATGTGAAACAATAATACATTATTTATGATAACAAAAAAATGGCATTGTAGATAATGTGTACCCATTAAAAGTGTTTATTAAAGCCATCCGAGATTGAATCACTGGCAGCTTTAATTATGAACTCTCGCACCGCTGCTGTTCGATGGGAAAATCTAATTTCCAATTTGCAGAAGAACAAAGTGCAGCACTGAAATCCGGTGTGGGTGGGCAAGAATTTAGCACCGTTTGGTATTTCGAAAATAAAAGCTTTTTTTATGCAGATTTTTTTCCCCCCGACGTTTATTAAGAAGATTAAATGGCCAAATTGTTCCATGTCATGCAAAAAAAAAAACCTGGAATGTTATTTAGCAAGATAACGCAAATGAAAATATCACCGAGACCTTCCGAGATCACAGAAGGCCATCGGGGAAAAAATATAGTGGACAAAAGATTGAAAGAAAAAGATGTATTCTGCGTACGGATTATTTTTCACAACCTTAGTTTAGAGATTCATTGAACAATAACCCTATTCAGTGATTGAAAAGAAAAACATTTAAAAATCCTTTTTACATGTTAATTTAGAACGACACTGTCTGTACAAAGTACAGGCGACTGGACGAACGGCACTTCTTTCTAGATTTGAAGCTTTCGTGACTGCAACGATTCATATACTCTTAGGTTTTTTCGGTAAAGTCACGTAGGTAAAAAAAATTTGAAATAAAATAAAATAAATGAAAATAAATCAATTAAATCACAATTTAATGATTTTATTGATTTATTTTAATTCATTTTTATTATTTCTATTATTTTTTACCTACGTGACTTTACCAAAAACAGCACTTCACCGGTCGAAAAGGACAGTTATCTCCAGTGGTGGAGCCAAAGCCATTTGAGAAGGAATTCTATATTGCTCTGGTCAAAGGTAAGTCTCTCCATCACACCCACTAATGACCAAAACACTCAAGGTCAAGAGATCATGTGATCAATGCCATTGATGCCACCACACCTCACAATCACTGCCTTCCTCCTGCTAGATCCCATTCGTTGTTATAAAGCCGACACCAAACCTACTCTTCGTGGCCCACTATTGGGGCTTAAATATCCTTGGATGCCAAACTCTGGATTGGCACTCTAATATCCACGTCTCTAATTTAAACTCCTCCATTACACGTGTGCACCAAACCCTTCACAACATCATTTACCTGATTACACGTACTACACACTGTTTCCATGTTCGATTCTAAAGTCAAAAGGCATGAATCAACGCTGACGCTTTACACTAACGACTGTTCCTGTCTCAATGCCGTGACGTTAAAGGATACTCTTTGGTTTACAAGAAAAAGTGATTTCTCGCTCAAATGAGAATTGAGGCAGCGCAGATCTCCTGTTCACACCACCAAACCAGTAGTGGTAATTCCATATTACAATGACATGGTGTGATTCCAATCGTATAACTATTGTCAGACTTTTTTCAAAGGCTGGGCACAAATTAATCATCTGTCAAGAGACTACACGAAGCGATAGCAGTGGGAAAAGGAACAAAAACTTACAATGGAAACAATAATGATAACAATGTCATCATGTACGATATATTTTGACATATATCAATGTTTTTTTCTGCAGATGGACTCAATATATGCATTTATAAAACGTCACGAGGGTACAGGGACACCGCTACTCATGAACATTAGACTCTCAAACTTTCAGAGATAAAAACAAACCTGTCCGTATGTCCAGTTGCCTGTTCGGATTCAGAGTTGGAAGTTGAACTGCTGTGCAATAGATAATAGTGGTGGCATCTACATCTGCAGAACGTGAAGAACCAATGGCATCTACATCTACAGGAGATGATACAACTTTGAAGCCATTCCCCGTGTTTAGTGTATTTGCCATAAAACATGTTTGGAATCAACACGAGTAAAGTTGGACTTACGAACAATTAGACTTACGAACCTGACTCGTCCATAAGTAGAGGAGTCCCTGTACTTTTACAATAAGGGTTTTTGGGTTAGATCGCATAAGTATGTGTCGTAACCCTCCACCACCCGACCCAAAAATCTTCATCACGAATAATATCGGTCGCAAATGCCTATGTGTTAAACTCCCTGAAACTTTGTGGGAGCGCCGTGACTCACAATTTGAGGAATGTGAGCTGAACGTTTCCATTTATGTTGTTGAACCGAGTCGAGAACTCAAGAGACCAGGATTGTGAGAGAGACCTGAGCCATCGGACTGCCAGTAGGGGGTGGGCGATTGCTGCTTCGTAGAATCCCAATGGAGTAATTTGCACTTAGCTTTTCTAATTTACGAAATTTGGAACCGTGACGCCGGCACACGATGGGCCTGCTCTTGCGAACGACATCAGGGCATCTTTAACATCCACTGTGGAACAGACGGCGCTCAATCGCTTAATATTATTACTAAGAAAACTTAAATATTTTTTATTTTGCCAGGTAAGGCCCACTGAGCTATATCGCTCTTTTTTCAGAAGCGACCTGGCCACAAATGACAGCTCAACAAAAGTGGCTTGTCACGTGGAATTTATAGCAGCCAAATACTCTTAAGTGCATGTTGATTCTAAACGTGGAGGGAAAAAACCAGAGGACCCGGAAAAAAATCCACGCAACCACAGGGAGAGACACAGCACGGAAACTCCAAATATACAGGCATCAGGGTCGGAAATGAACCTACGAACTCATGCATACCAGGCGAGGGAGTTAACATCTCGCCACCCGGGCACCCATTGCATTATTACAGGTTATCACAGCGGCGGCTGGACTGCGAACCATGACCCATCGCAACAAGGGTATGAATGTGCTCCCGCTGGCTGGCTCAGCAACATCATCCCTTTTTGGGTTGATAAACTAAGTAGCAATTATGTGTAAAGGCAACATTGGTTGTCCTTCGAAGAGGCTGGCCACCACCAAAAAAAATAATTAATAATTTCCACCAGAGGCTCCTGGGGTCCCATGCTCGTCTCTCAGTAGCTACTGTAGCCTTTTTGGCGGCTTAACATTTAATTATCGGTGTGATTTATTTAGATCTCCTTTTGTTAAGCTGCAAGGTCAAAGGTTAGAGGGACACAGTCGGAAAGAGGCAAGTGCTCACGGCCATCCAACCGTTTTTTTCACCAGCGTGAGCCGCCCTCGACATTTAATAAGCCACTAAATAATTGATCGACGATGCCAAATTGCATGCATCGCCGACGACGGGAGCTTCATTAATACATTTATTTATCTGAACACTCGTGGCCATATTTTGTCCGTCAATATTGTAATATTCTAAAAGGAATTTTTATTTCCAAAAATGTTCTTTAGGAGTTCAATAAAGGTCTTGATATCACTCTTCAGGATCCCTATTAGGATCGCTATTAGGATCTCTATTCAAGCATACGGGCTATTTTATTGGCTTTGTTAAGATTTTGTGGTAAATTTGGGAAGGCGGATGGACAAAGGGAAGCGGGACAGACAGATTAAATGTCCTCTGCATCGACCAAAAAATTGAAAAAAAATTCCACTGTGCAGAAGTCAAGGTTACGAGGTCATCAAGGCCACTGTCATTGGTGCCACCAAACATCGCTGTTACTTCCAAAATAATAATAACAACAACAATATTAAGACTAGTTGAGGTGTGAAGAAGGTGAAAATCACTTCACTGGATCAACCACACCATAAGAGAGCACGATGGATAATGGGGGGGGGGGGGGGTGGTAGTGGGGGGGGATATGGGGGGGGCACACGCGAGGACACGCGATCAGACTTGGCTGCCACCACCACCCGTCTCTTCCGCGTGCACAAACAAAGCCGCAGCTCCGTACTCGTTTCTATTTTTTTTTACAAGAGCCTGGCAAAGGCCCGGACCGTAATAAGGGAAGGTTGAGAGGGGGGGGGGGGATACAGAAATTCCGTGGATGATCGAAGTGCGAACTTGGTGCTTCTGGGTTCGGGTAAAGGGATGAGGCTGGGGCTCGCTGCCCCACTCATGCAGGGACTGCGAGCAGCGGGAGAGTAGGTTTTTTTAAAATATGGGATAGGGGAAGGCAAGGGAAGAGGAACAAGAGTAAAGGGAAAACATGTGGTGGTGGGGGGGGGGGGGGAGTTCATCTAACAAAATCTTCCAATTAAAATTATCTACATGCGCCTAGTAGTAATAATAATACTTTAATTTTATATAGTAGCGTCATTCATTCCAACAGCATCCCAATACGCTGTGCAGTAATTATATACGAGGACTAAATCCCATATACCGTGGTTGGCTATGCCTGGCACGAAAGAAACCCAAGACACACACATACACACACATGCCAAGCAAATGAAAGACCCTACTACCAAAGCAACATCAAAAGTAAAGAAAACAAATGAAGAACTTGGCACCAAAAAACAAAAAGCCACAAACAACAACAACAAAAGTTACCAAAACAAGTCAACTCATCGTACCGGTCTCGATCTTGCTGTCGACGGCCGCCGGTCCGTCCGGCACGAGGCTCTTGACCTGCAGGAACTCGTCGGGCTCGTCCCCGCCGATGATCGTGAAGCCGAAGCCGCGGCCGCTCTTGAGCAGCGACGTCGACACGAAGGTGCCCTGCAGCTCGGCCGGGTTCCGCGTGAAAAACGCCTTCCCTGCGCGACGGGCGGACGCAAGGCCCTCTCCCCGCTTTAGACAACGAAGGCCGCCGCCGCCGCCGCGCCACTGTGGCGGCGGCGGCGGAGGCTCGGAGGGCTCTCGCGCACGGCTTGTTGCGCGACGTCCGACGTTTCGCTGCTTCTACCTCTTGAGCCACTTCGTGTGAACCCTCGCAAATGATAATTCACACGAAGTGGCTCATCGTCGTGTGGACAATTTACAGCAGCCAAAGAGTCTAGGCGCGTGACGTTGATTCTAAAATGTGGAGGGAACACCCTGAAGGACCCGGAGAAAATCCACGCGACCACGAGGCGAGAGACACCGCAAACTCGAAATATACAGCCGTCAGGATTGGGATCGAACCCACGATCTCCTGCATACCAGGTGGGGTAGTTAACATCTCGCCACCACGGCACCTACTTGAAGAACCTCCCAGTAACACACGGGGCCTGATCAACTGTACTTCACCACAATGGTCAGTTGTCATTTTGGTGATAATGGGGGCCGTGGACCAGTTGAGATATCGCTCCCCTTGCCACTGATGTCAGCCGTGGCTGATAATCCACATGAGGTTGTTGGGTTCGTGGTGAGTGTGCAAACCACTGTGCCACTACACCCCCCCACGTAATAAGTAGAACTATTAGGTGGGGAGCAAGTGGAATGAAACGTCGGACATCGTGCCGAACATGCGGTGCAACCCGAAGATGCATCGGAGAGATGGAAAAGCTGCAATTAGCGGTGTATGTAACGGCTATAATAGCGATGTACGCTAATTTATTGTATTTAATATAATCGATAGTTTTAGGATTAATTTTATGCTCGCATGCAGTCATGATTTATTGGCTTACTATAGCGCAACACGAGGTATGATGATGATGAATGTCAGCATGTTCCCGTATGTACTACGAATGATAATAGTAACACACACAACACCTGCAGCTACAATCTGCCACTAAGTTGCAATTATATCACCTTCGCACTTGTGCCAGGTTAAGCGCACTTTGAGGCTATGTAGAAAAATACACCACTCAAAACTAATTTACCATTTCTAACTAATTTACCCCATAGCCTGAACAGAATATCGAGTACCATTATCCCTGGCTTTTGTAGTGTATGAAGAAGCATTGCTTTGGTTCAGAGGAAACTGATGCAGTCATCCAAATTATCACAAACCAAGGCCTTCATGAATATAAAACACAAAACCGCCGATAGAATGTCACGCCGTATAAAAGCACAAGTCAGCCGAGAAGATACGGATGGAGATGAGGCTATTCATGGTGACGTTTGAAGTTATTTTCCCAAGATCTGATTGGAGATGTAAATAGGTGAAACATAATTGGAGACAGCATTAGCTGTGGAATATTTGACAATGGCAGTCTTTATCAGCTAATGACGATGATGTTTCCGTCAATGTACACCTCTAACTGGTATCCTTGTCACGGTAAATGCCAATTTGCATTGGGGAACAATTTTGAAAGCGGAGCTCTGAGCATTAAATTAGAATTTTATGATATTCAATGTCTGCGCGAGTATAGAAACTCGGCATTAAACGTCGTGTTTCTTAAGAACGGTGACATGAGCGCTGTTAAACTGAATAAAACATTTTTTTCATTTACTTTATCAGGTCAGGCCTACTGAGCTATGTAGCTCTTTTTGAGAAGTGACCTGGCCGCAAATGATAGCCCAACGGAGTGGCTTATCATCGCGTGGAAATGTATAGCAGCCAAATACTCTGAACACGTGTTTTTAAATGTGGAGGGAAAGAACGCAGGACCAGGAGAAAAATCTACTCGTCCACAGGGAGAGAGACATGCAAACTTAAAATATACAGGCGCCAGGCTCGTGATCGAACCCACGACCTCAAGTGTATTCTGTGACAGGCATTTATTACGGAATACACTTTCTGAAAGGGGTGATTTGAGCGTGCAGCATTGCTTTTCAACTTTTATTGGTTAAGAACTGAAATGCAAAAAATGGATTTCACATGGCTGTAGCAGGCTATAATGGTTGGACAAGCTGACGTAGGCAAAGCCCATTCCAGGCGAAGATTTAACTTCAACTGATGTGTACACAGTATTTCAATTGGCTTTTTGCTTGGTTAAATTAAGGTGATCTGTCATATCTGACATATAAAGTACAGCCGTTTGAGAGTGTCTGAGTGACTGATGTAAATTCGAATGTTCTAAAAGCCATGTAGAGGTGAAATTTGGTACACCTTTACCTGAATCTGCTTACTACTAGACAATTGTAAAACATATTTTTTTTATTATTTTAGACTGGACAAATTTTAGAGCTCAATTTTTATTACTTTTGATCTTGTAATCTAAGCCGATGGCCGTTTGCATTTAAAGGTTTACACGAATACCGGATCTCATGATATTCTGGTATGGTTTTAGAAGTGCTGACGCTAAACTCCAATAGAAATTCAGCAAAGCCACACACTCGTTTCTGTGGATATATATACCTATAACTGCATTGTGGGTAAGCTCCTGAATTTCTAATTAACGTGAAAAAATCCAATATCGGGCCAGATATATATGAAACGTAATAGGATCCCAATTTATTGTTGTTCCTATTGTTTCAGTTTAATCCTAAATGCGGAAGTTATGTCCCTAATGTGGCACCGGTTCTTAAAGCGGGGCCACGTGGTGCATCGGGTGATGTGGCTCTTGTTGGCACGAAGACAGGTTGCACGAGTAGCCGGAGGAATTGATCTGAAACAGATTTTAAATTGTGTCCAAATGGTAAAGAGAAGCTATCGTAGGTGCAATTCCACTCTCCCTCTGCGGTCTCTCTATGTACGCTACAATGAAGGGCCATCGCCCAAAACGTCGCCCGTCATGAACTTTTCCTGTATAAGACCGCAGCAATGTTGACAAATGCGTTGAGTTTTGTTATTTTGGGCTCGTGCACCGCAACCATTGCAGCCGTGTCACCATAAAAAAATTGTGTTTATCGTAAGTAGGGGACAGCCAAAAAATTGTTGGCCGGATAATATAGGGGTGGGGGGGTGGGGGGGTGTGTAGGGTGTGTGTGTGGGGTGGGGGGGAGTGAAATCCAACTGAAACAAGTGACAGCTGCTCATGGAGTGTCCCAGAATGGAAGACTCATCCCACCCTCCAAGCTTATACACGAGCATGTTGCTGGCGAGGTTTGGCGCTGGCTCGCAGGATAAACAGCCCTTGGCAGCAATCGCTAAATCACCGGGCAAACAGAAATGTAGTGCCGCACCGCACATCGACGCAAAATCGGAGCAGATGGTACCAACGGCCTGCCGCAAGCACCATGAGAGTAACGCAACACCAGGGCGCCTACATATTTGGTCATGGGGATAATCTAACTTTAGATATTACGCATGACAATGCAATACATAATTTGAATTGCCGAATATGACTTGGCTATTAATTAAGATGCACAACATTCATGCAAATATTCGACACATGCTCTGCAAAGACAAAGATCCCCCCTATAGCCAGAGCAGACTGTTGGGGCAAGTGCTGTTAGCGAGCACCTATGAAGGCCGGCACGGCACACGGAGGGAGTGGGTGGTCCAGCACCACGCCCGACCGCCTTTGTCTCCCCAGTGGCGATGTTTACACACCACACCAGGTTCTCATTTGAGGCTGAGTAGACCTCGGGGAGGCCCAGGAACCGGTTCAGATATTCGTCACTTGTGTGTTAGCCGTGAGCGGGAATCGAACTCGGGTCGCCGGGTTAGTAGCGTAGTGCGCTAACCGCTACACCACCGCTCCCCACTTCGGCTGCGCTGTGTGTGTTTGCAAATACGGGCAACAAATATCCCCCGGTCATCCAACCTTCTGAGACCAGTGCGCTGAAGTATGGTCAACAAACCCCATGACCGACATGGTGCTCAAGACACCTTCATCTCGTGACGGATGGAAAATATTTTTTTTGGAAACAAAAGTCTGCTCCAGAGTGAACGGACCTCATCGGAGAGTGCCTCACTGCTCATCCTCAATTGCAACACTCAATCTTTAGGATGACCAATATTGACTTGCCACCAATTGGTACCTATTGTATTGACCCCCAATGGAATGACAAACTTCGTTAACCCTCGATGGGGAATGTGAACTGGCAACCTTCCGATTGCGAGTCGTGTGTGTGTGGGAAACAGATGTCTGAAAAAGGTGTCGGCACAGAACAATTTTAAATATGCGTCCAATTTTCTGCCCACATTTACTCGTAAACTTGCATTCCCAGAGTATGTGGAAAGAGACGATGTCAAGAGAAACCCGTAACTGACAAGTGTTTAACCTGTGCCCAGAATGCATTAGCTGAAGGTTATTACACACGACCTGATGTCTGATCAACGGGGCATTTAGTTTGAATGGTTAGTTATATAAAGCCATTGTATTTTTTATGTGAAGCGGAGGTGCATCAAAAGCACATGGCAGCGATGATTGCTAACAATCATTCTTATCCATCAATTATGTGCTATTAGCAAGAGCTATTGCCTGAAATGTCGCCGATTATATATTTTTCATTTTAAGGTCACACACGGTGCTATTGACGGCTTTGCTATTATTTTTTTTGAAATCCATGGAACTTGCCTCAAAAGCCTACAAAGCTAATCTTGCTGGGGATTTACATATGGACACATGGACAACACACTTTTTCTGGCATAAGGTATTCCAACGGTTTTTAAGTAATTTTGGGGTGCTGATTCCAAATCTGGTTTTTGAGATATCAAATATTGCATTTTTAATAAAAACTGCAGAAGAAAAATATTAAATAAATGTGGATATCTACATAAATGATATTATAAACACACTATCCTAAAAATACAGCACAATATTTTAACACTAAAGCAGTCACTGACTCGCAACAACTTGCAATCATAAGTGACAGAGTTAATTTCGGGTAAAATCAATGAAAATGGGGTATGCCGATAGCATAAAAATTGAGATGTGATAGAGCAAATCTGAGATCAGATTTGGAATCAGCACGGTGAAATTAGTCTAAAACAGCTGCAAAAGTCCAGACCAGAAAAAAAGTTTTTTTTGTTGACCAGTGTAATGAATGAACTGACCTATCAGCACGTGATTAAGATACTATTTGAAACACACCAGTAAATGTATCCAAGTTGTGTTTGCTTTCAGGTCTCACTGAACCGTTCGTAGAACAAAAAATGCAGCCACAATTCACGCGTGAAGCTCCATCATCTTTGGTATGACCGAACGTGCGCATCAAATCGATGGCTTAATTCAAAGATGATAGCAATTCTGTCCGGGTGGAGACGAAGGTCTTCGACAGTTCAGCCAACTGGACCTTCTTCACGAAATGCCTGCACTTGTCGGAACAAACGACAGCAGCCGTGGAGAGATACGCGAGAATGCACAGTTGGTCACGGATGCTCTTCACAAGCGTTGCCTCGGATCTCGTTTGAGAAGCGAGTCGCACACCTCCGGTGTAAACAACGTGCCAAACGCAAGTGCAACGCCTCGGTCAGCACGCAACGTTGGGCCAACACGTCGGCCGTTGGCTCAACGTTGGGCCCGACATTCCGCGCTGTTTTAATGGCACGCCGGGCACTCGAAGGCCGCGCAACGCCGAGTTCAACCGAGCTGCTCGTGCCCGTGCCGCGGTGCCAACTGGCTTGTGAGGCGACGAGCAGGGCAACGTCATCTGTCGCCGTCTGTAGAACTAAGCTAATTATAAAAAAACTTTTTATTTCACAAGGTAAGGCCCACAACTGAGCTATACGCCTCTTTTGCCAGAAGTGAACAGGCTACGAACGAGAGCTCAACGAAAGTGGGCCGATCATTGTGTGGACATTTGCAGTGGCCAAATACCCTCAACGCGCGTTGATTCTAACTGTGAAGGGAAAAACGAAAGGACCCCGAGAAAAATCCACGCGACCACGGGGAGAACACGCACACTCCAAATATACAGGCGTTGCAACGGTCGGGATCGAACCCACGACCTCCTATGTATCAGGCGAGGTGGTTAACATCTCGCCACCGTGGTGCCCAACATACATACATGTAACATACGTGCAACTATGTATGTCGAAGGCTTTTTCGCACCGTACGTAGCCAACCGTGCTCATCGGAGGTGAGGGGGGGGACGGGGGGTCTGGATAAATGTGTGCGAGAGACCTCACAAAGCAAAATCGCATTCAATCATTCACGGCGAAGTGAGGAGCAGAAAGGAACATCCACTGACCCGATGGCCTTGGCTTGGACTCCGCTTGCTGGTGGGCACCGCCGCACGGAAACGAATTGTGTAACAAATATCCCTCCGCTTGGCACTCTGCGTTACAAGAATGGACGCAGAGCGTTAAAGTGAGTGCTTCTTACGGAACGTCATAACACACACACACATCGACATTTGCTACGCAGCATTATATCGCGTGAATTCCAGATGAACATTTGCAAAAAACAACGTTGCGAGCTTCGACCCGGCGAAACGTCGTACTCAAACTTGTACATTTTGTGGATTTACTCTCCAATACACCGGTGTTGCTGTACTCGTAACGAATTGGCATGTTATGTTTACATGACAATCCTCACTAATTGGCTGCGTTGGGTGGTGGCGGGTTTAGCGACACATTTATATTTACGCGATCTAACCCCCACCCAAAAACCCCCAGTATTATGTAGCTACGACCGTATGTGGCTCAACAACCAAACTGAAAGATGCCCTGGCGCTATTTAACGGCACTGCACCTGGCGCCACATCAACAGCGTTTGTAAAAGTTAAGTGCTATTTTCTTTTGGCAAGTTTATTTTGTAATTATCAGGAATATATCTTTAAAAAAAACATTGGTGTGCGTGTGTGCGTGCGTGATATTGTTTTTAAACCAAATTGGGAGTGTAACATTGGACGGAGCATAATTAAAAAGGCATGCTGTCGACATGTTGACAAGCTGGCAAAGTCGGTCCAATTAGTGAGCCTCACATTGCTTTGTGACTGAGAGGTGGTGGTGGTGGTGAGGAGGTGGTGGGGGGAAACATAGTTGGAAGGTTTGGTAGAAATCTCATTACGCCACCACCTGCCCTTCCACCTCAACGCAACTGCTTATGGCACCGTTAATGCAACGCTCGGTCATGTTGCCATTTGAACCAAAAATCAACCTCCTGCTGCTATAGAAACTTAGGCCCAAAGTGATAACTTTCAAGCAAAATGTACACTGCGAACGCACTTTAATGAGGCCATGCATGTGCCAGTACTCGCCAACCTTAACGGGTTCGTTCGAACCGTTGGAAGTCACCCGTTGCGAATTTACGTTGCGTGCAATAGATTAAGAATGGATGAAAATAAAAATAATGTAAAAACGAATGACGTTCATGTTTCATTCCATGTTTTAAAAACATTGCAACATCTCCGTTCAACAGTGCATGGATTCTGTAAGTTTAATTAGTTTTTTCAACAATGTTCGCAATTTGAAAACATTGCTCGTGAAACATGAATGCTTCTTTATTTGCTGAACTAAACTGTAAACGAAACAAAATTTACTCAAATAAATTGCTTTCTCAAGTAGGAAAATTAAGTGGCAAAGAAGCATGTGGCATCATGAACACAGAACATTGCAAATGAGTCACTGTTTGCACAAAGCAGTTGGTTTGCAGTGTATTAAAGCAAATAGAGAGATTTTATCTGTCCAAATTCGTGTGTGTCTGTGATTGTACATATTATAATGCTCTGTGTAACTTGATGTGGATAATAATATTTTACAAAGTAATTTAATAATGATAACCTAAAGAGTATCATATTTAACAATGGTAACTATAAATAGATTTTTTTTTATAGGGAGAATATGTGTAAAAACAATTCAACACAGAAATGTCAAGCAAAGTGCCAAATGAATCAATGCTTTAATGGAAGATTGCACATGTATCGATATATCCTGAAGGGCAACTGGTAGGTTACATTATGAAACAATGGTGTGAGCAATTGTGAATCTCTGGACAATTATATTCCCGAATCGCAATCCGATATAATTGTCGGGCAACAGCATGATTGTTCAAACATATTTCTTTACGACTCACAAAGGTTAATATATGCCCGAAGCTTTTTCAACGATTTATGATGTGGTCTACCGCACACACGTGGAATATTATCTCCGATAAATGCGCTACGCGTACATTCGTGCACGTTGAATACACTCCGGTCCAAGCGTCATCAACACCGCTCAGCGTATCGTCGCAAGGGCGCACAATTTAGGGACCTTTCTGGCCTATAGTCCCGCTTTTGATAAAAAAGCCTCAATAATATTATTTCTGCACGGTGAAATTTGCTGCCGTCTGTCACCCGTCAATCTCTCGTGCGCGTGTGGCCTTGGCGTGTGCTGAAGAGGGGATGGGTCCCTCTCTCTCTCCTATTCCCCAACGCTCGTCCCTCACACCAGAGCCTGCACATTTGTCTGTGAGCAATGGCCCTCGCGACAAGTTCATAAGCACCCAGCTTGAAACCAATTAGACGTGCTTTAACAGGCTCGTGTTGCATAGGCGCCGTGGTGGCGAGATGTTAACTCCCTCGCCTGGTGTGCATGAGGTCGTGGGTTCGAACCCGACCCTGATGCCTGCTGTGGAGCTATCATTTGTGGCCAGGTTGCTTCTGAAAAAAAGCTACATAGCTCAGTGGGCCTTAACCTGGTAAAAGTAAAAAATAGTTTAAATACAAAAAATGGTGACTGAGGTGGCTCAGATTTTACTGGAGCTGACGGTTCTGAGGAATCTGGGTTCGAACTTGCGATTTCAGATTGGTAAAGACGCAGCCCTGCAATTGCTTCGGCTTGCAGTGGATTGACCGTGCTCGATGACGATGATAATCAGATGTGTTCATTTCAAAACTTGCAAAACAATCCCGTACGGATCATAAACTCCTTTAAGCATGTTGTATAATCCATGAGAAGGTTTTGCAAAACAAAAAAAAACCCTTAATTTCTTTATATCATACTTATTGGTTCTTTCAGTAAAGTGACGTAGGTATAAAATAAAATAAATCACGACGTTTCTGGCGCAACACAAGCGTCCATCATCACGTGACTTTACAGAAAGAACCAAAGAGTAGGGATTCCTGCAGTCACGAAGGCTTCAAATCAAGATTCTTTATATCATATGTAGGTTACATTTTTTATTTGGTCCTGCTCCACATGCAAGGCCATGATACAGCTCGGTCGGTAGAGTTAGGCAATTTTGTGAAGCGTGACTACGATTCGCGGTCGGGGTTGACTCCATCCCAGCTTCATAATCCCACCATCATTGTGCGAAGTTAACAGTTTGTGGTTCTACGCGAGAGATTGATTTCCGCCATAGAAGAATTTCCACCTCTGGCTCAGGACAACCAAATGAACACGAGCACCGATCAACAAACGTTTGAACGTGAAGATACAGTGGTCCATTTGACATCCGAATGCCAGAATAGTACCAACAATTGAGCTCCGCATCTGAAGAGGCAAGGGAAAAACACCCGGTGGTATATGTCCATCTGATTCCTGAACTTCAGTGATCAAAATAAATAGCGAAGTCTAAGAAAAATGAAACTTGCTGGCCGAGAAAATATTAATACCAAGACAACATGCATTGAATTGGATAATAATCTGCACCGAACAATGTTAATGTAAAGCACCATGTTTGTTGTTTATTTTGATTCGCCTTCTAAGAATGAGAGTATATGCATCCAGGCAAAAGTTGGAAAGTGGAGGATCATGAATTATCGAATGGGTCATGCCCGGCTTGTTTTTTCTACTCAGTGTAAAAGAACAGATACCAACACGTTGGGAATTCTGCGAGCAAAGGCCCGTTAGCAGAGCAGGGTAATCCAGGTAAAGGTTGTTAATCAGATCTCATCAACTAAAGAATCAGCATCTACAAAATAGGTCATTAAATATTAACAAACAGATTAGGGAAACTCAATTACCTGCAACACGAGCCTGCCGGATAATAATACCCGACATCAATATTTCACCGCGATTTCAATGTTCTACCGTATCGAGTGACACCTGAGGAATTGCACAGTTTGATGAGTGTAGGCAGCGCTGCTGTTGCTGTATGCGCAAGGGTGCATCAACACAGACCCCTGGACTTACCGAAAGACGGGTAAGCCTCAGGTGTGTACGAGTTTAAAGCTTTGGATACACTATCTGCGAGCGGGGAAACACAGACACATCACACCACAAAGATAAACATCTGCTGTCGAGCCTTAACAGACTTTTGGGGCAAGTGCTGTTAGCGAGCACCTGTGAAGGTCGTCACAGCACACGGGGGGGTTGGGTGCCTGACACCTTGCCTGGCCGCCTTTGTCACGACGTTCATACACCACACCAGGTACTCGTTTACGAATGAATCCACCTGATAATCGTCACTTGTGGCTGCCGTGAGCGGGAATCAAACTCGGGTCGCTGGGTTCGTAGCGCAGTGCGTTAACCTGCTTCCACTACCGCTCCCCATATCACGCCACACACACACACACACCGCAAGCAATCGACTCGTTCACCGTGTGCGTGCGACGATGGCGATACGACTCTCAAAAACAGCCTTGCGACTGCTAAGCCGTGCCAGGTTGACTTTGGTATGGGCCTGGTGTGGCCTGGCTGCACAGTGTAAAAGTAGAAGTGAAAAACAGGTCGCACATCGAAGAAGACCTGATGATTCTAGATTTGAAGCTTTCGTGACTGCAAGCATTCATATTCTTAGGTTTTTTCGGTAAAGTCACGGGGGTAAAAAAATAAAACTATAATTAATAAAAGTAAAATTAAATAAAAAATAAATAAAAATCACGACGTTTCAGAGGCAACACAAGCGTCCGTCTTTACCTGAAGACAGAAGCTTGTGTTTTTACCTACGTGACTTTATCAAAAAAACCTAAGAATAAGACCTGATGACACGGGCAGTGATGAGATGGAAACTGGCACCATTTGGACACGTACGTAGGATGGACAGCAACAGGAAAATTTAAAGTGTGTTGCTCGGGAAAAATGGAAGCAACCAGAAGGAGAGGAAAGGCCTCAACTGAGAATGGTTTGACGACGACGTGCGAGGTTGGTGCCAGAAAGATGTGCGATGCTGACGACACGTCGCAGTGGATATCTGCCCATGGACCGAGATGATCATGACGACGACGACGACTACGACGAAGATGACACCAGAAAGGGACACCAGGGTTCAAAACTTGAAACATTGGCGGCGCCGACTTGGCAATCTGACCACAAGCAATTTCATTAAGACCCCCACGAGCCACAAAAGTCGCCTCATTCAAAATGTATTTGGTCTCTCCTCTGCATTTTACATGCGCAGAGCGCGCAAATCAATGCTTAATCAATACTAAATTAACTTTTCCTATTTGCACGCACGCCCTACTTGGCGTCGTTCCCGCATTCGTCCGGCTGCGTTTAGCGCCGAGGTAGCAGGGCATTTATTTTAATGTACAATACGTGGTTTGACAGCTTCAACATCGCCCTTTAACAGGTGGCAAGATCGTCATTGCTACACATCGATGCTGCGTGGAAGTCACGACTGCCCTGCGCATTATATCCCTTATCTCCATTCCGTACTTTGCCGTAAGCTCGCTTCAGTAAATCTCTAACCTTCACAGCTCCTTTCTCGAGCCTGGGCTGAGGGATAAATGTGCAAAGCGCATGTTCTGAGTGCACTCGCCATCAATATTTCCCGCTGAAAACGTGTTTTTGGCCTTCCAGAGGCATTCAGACATTACACAAAGCAGCTATCTAAAAGGCCTAGATAATAAAGTGAGGTTACAAGACATCTTTCTGACAGATGAGCAAAAAAAAATCGCCCAGAGATGTCTATATCAATCCAAACCACACTTTGCGATTTCCAATATAGCTCGTAAATAATGCAGATCTTGGTCTGCTGAATGGCAATATGAGTTATGATAACAGTTGACTCCATCCAGTGTTTTCCTTTCAAGTCATCATGAATGTTTCGATTTAAAGCTTTCGTGACTGCAGGGATTCATCTTCTTGGTTCTTTCGGTAAAGTCACGTAGAATGGAAATAATAAAATAATAAAAATAAAACATAATAAAATAATTCTCACGACGTTTCGGCCACAACGCAAGCAGCCGTCCTCAGGTGAAGAACAGGTCTGTCAGAAAGACATTCAGATGCTGTCTTTCTGACAGACCTGTTCTTCACCTGAGGACGGCTGCTTGCATTGTGGCCGAAACGTCGTGAGAATTATTTAATTATGTTTATTTTTTTATTATTTTCATCATGAATGCTTTAATGCCTTAAGATCCATAATGTCTGAGGCTGTACATACGGTTCGTTTACATAAGTCTGTAACAAAAAAAACTGTTCTTAATTCGTCTAGAAGCACTATGTATTGTTAATTCTATGTGCAGCAAGTTCTGGGGTGAGTTTCGTGCAGTTCATGATATTATAATTGAAGTGTTTTCTCTCGTTGGTTTGCATATTCCCACCTAGCAATGCCCTGGAACTGCCACCACTGCCAATGGTCTTGGGCTGTGGTCTATGAGTCTCTATGTAACTCTATGAGTCTCTGTGAGTCTCTATGTAACTCTATGAGTCTCTATGTAACTCTATGAGTCTCTATGTAACTCTTTGAGTCTCTGTGGATCTCTATGTAACTCTCTGAGTCTCTATGTAATTCTATGAGTTTCTGTGGATCTCTATGTAACTATGAGTCTCTGTGGATCTCTATGTAACTCAATGAGTCTCTATGTGATTCTATGAGTCTCTGTGGATCTCTATGTAACTCTATGAGTCTCTGTGGATCTCTATGTAACTCTATGAGTCTCTGTGGATCTCTATGTAACTCTCTGAGTCTCTGTGGATATCTATGCAACTCTATGAGCCTCTATGTAACTTTATGAGTCTCTGTGGATCTCTATGTAACTCTGAGTCTCTATGTAACTCTATGAGTCTCTATGTAACTCTATGAGTCTCTATGTAACTCGATGAGTCTCTATGTAACTCTATGAGTCTCTGTGGATCTCTATGTAACTCTATGAGTCTCTGTGGATCTCTATGTATCTCTATGAGTCTCTGTGGATCTCTATGTATCTCTATGAGTCTCGATGTAACTCTATGAGTCTCTGTGTAAATCTATGGATCTTTATGTAAATCTACTGTAAACTGTGATGCCCTGTAACAGCCGACGGTATGGGGCTGCAGCCATCAGTATAACAGGGCTGCTTGGCTGAATGGGCCTCACCAGCTGATAGAATAAATTCCGAGTGTGACCGGTGAATAATGATGCATTCGGGAGGAACAATTTATTTTCCTGATCATTATCAGTGTGAACATCTAGTCAGAATTATTGTGCCAAACTTTGAATGGTATCTGCACCATCGCTGAGTGACATCTCCTTTCTCATTCTAGAGGAAGTTAACGCCGTCCGGATATAGTTTCAAATTAAACAAATTTAATTCTTTAAAGCTATCCATGCCATCAGAGAATATCGTGCTCGCAACAGCCCCTGTGTCTCGGTGAGATTTGTGAGTTATCTCCATAAAATGTAAATATTCATGTGCTGTGAAAAAAGGCCATTGTCACAAAAGTTGCGTATTATATCATTGCCCTTTTAAGGCAGTTATATCGATGAACGTGCACGGGTTATTTTCGCGTTTGTTTTCTCACCAAGTTAAAACAAAGAGAACGGGTGAAAAAGCCGAAATGTGAATGGAAGGAATTAATTGGCATCACCACCAGCAGAGACGGCTGCAAGTGACTTTTTTCCTCAAGGTGTCCTCCGATGCTCTCCGCAGTTTGCGAGTGTACGCTGAGAAGACAGCGGCTTTAACTCCGAGATCACCGACATGTGCAAGCTCAGATCCTGCCAGATGTCACCGGTTCGTAGCTAATAAGGCCACCTTCTTGTGAATTTTGGCAGCGGTGTTTTGGATTACGCATCGTGCTGCTCCTTTGTGATCTGTGTAAAGGGGATCATTTTGGCTCAATCTGAAGTCCTGCCTCACTGACTTCCAGTACCACGTGCGCGTGCATAGGAGCGGTGATGCAGTGCGCCCAGGGCACTGCACTACGACCCCGTGAGCAGAGTTCGATTCCCAGCTGGTTCTGGGTCTACCCTGGGCCGACTCATCGTTAAATCCGTACCTAGAGCGGTGTGCAAACAGAGGTGGCCAGGCGTGGTGTTGGCCACCCACACACACCCTCGTGTGCCGTACCAGGCTTCGTTAGGTGCTCGCGAACAGCACTGGCCCCAACAGTTTGTTAAAGACCATATTCGAGACCTTTGCCTTCTTAACACCGAGCAGAATCAATATTCACTTCTTCGAGTAATTATCTTTCCCCTCCATGGTTTTTTAATTTGTATTTAATCAATTAGGATTTGTTTCAAGTAAAAATTAAATAAAAGCGTCTCCCTGTTCACGAGAACACGACCAAGTTGCCCCGTTGCTTTGGTGGCCTTGAGTCAGCGATGGGAATTCCACATTCGTACAGGACAACCGCCATTCACTTCCCACAAAGTGGTAGACATTTCCGAAATTATGTTCCAACTGTGCTTGCGCAGTCTATTTACAAGACACTCATCTTATACTCTTAGTTTTTTCGGTAAAGTCACGTAGGTAAAAAATGAAAGTAAAATTAATAAAAATAAAATAATAAAAATCACGACGTTTCGGAGGCAACACAAGTCTCCGTCATCAGGTGGGACCGTCACAGCCAGATTTGCTGTATCACACTTGATCAGGTTGGACACAGCCAGATTTGCTGTATCAAGTGTGATACAGCAAATCTGGCTGTGATGGTCCCACCTGATGACAGAGACTTGTGTTGCCTCTGAAACGTCGTGATTTTTATTATTTTATTTTTATTAATTTTTATTTCATTTTTTACCTACATGGTGACTTTACCGAAAAAAAACTAAGAGTATGAATCCTTGCAGTCACGAAAGCTTCAAATCTAGAATTAAGACAAACATCTATTTATAATTCTCAGAGTCAGCATATTATTACTACTACTACTACGCCTCTTCAGAGAATAAAGATGACTCAAGTAATAAGTTCTGGAATCACTTCAATACAACACGATTTAACAGTTGATGCCCTTGCCTTCATTAATTGGGAAGAAGCAGCACTCGTCCAGGAGTCAATGGCTGTTAGCAAGCACCCATTAATCGCTGGAGCTGCACACAA